GATGGGATGAGAGAGACAATAGTGTATGGGATAGAACCGAAACATTGTGAGATTAACTGTCTACTTTAGGCGGCTCACATTTCTGTCAGTTAGCTAGTGTCTGAGAGTTTAAAACGGCTGCTTGCACTGTATGTATCCTGGGAAGTCGAGGGTGTAGTGGGGTCTGCTGGGAAGTAGTTGTTATAAAACGCGTAAAGCAGTAGGCGAGTCAAAATGACACGTCGCCAAGATCCGGTTTTTATAAATCAACCGGATAACCAGGTTTCAATTCTGCCCGCGCCTCGTCTCTCGTACAAGAATCTCTCCGTGTGGACTTGACGCGAGGCACGAGATGGTACGTACAGAGATGTGTGGGGAGACAGATCTAACCTCGACGTCGGTCGTTACAGAACATGACTGCCTGTGTCCACGTCACAAACATGACGTCCGTTTTCCTACCTCAGTGTCTACGTCAGAGAGAGTAGGAGTAAACTTTGGGGGGGGAGAGGGTTCGTAAGTAAGAGTTTTACGGCACTTGCAACACACCAAGGTAATATACGTGCAAATGATTAGAGGTGTTGGAAGAGAGTAACAAACACAAAAAGAAGGAGGGGAGAGATAAGGACGAAAGATGTTTGAAAGGAAAGAAGAAGCAAACCACATCAGACCACCCGCCAACACCTGGCCTTCTCGGCTAAGAGAAAAAAAATCGAACGTCCCCTGTACAAGTTGCGCACCGTTAAAGATCCCTTGGTGGTCTAAAATCAATAGGAGTAGGCTTCGGCCGCCACCCGGGCAAAATTCAAAATTTCCTACCACCTGAAAATGTTTGGTGTGTCCCGCGCGCTCATATTTCCTGATGCGGTTGCGAGCGCCGTAAAACACTTAGAAAAAAAATATTAAAAAGAAAATATAAAAAAACCCTGGGGCCTGTGCTGTCGCTCTGGCACTCAGGACATAGGGGTTGGATTCCCGAGTGGGGAGAGGTTTTCATCTGTACAGATTTCCTACAGGCGTCTGTGGTGTAGCAGTTAGACGCTTAGCTGTGGCCCCCAGGAGACCCGGGTGTGATTCGTGAGCGGGCAAAAAGAAATGAGTATTTTTATCTAATATGTCGGTGGTTTTGGTCAAATGTTGTTCCCCTCTGAGAAAATGTGGAAGATGAGGAAGTTATAAATAACAAAGGGAAAAACTTCACAATGAGGAAGTTATAAATAACAAAGGGAAAAACTTCACAATGAGGAAGTTATAAATAACAAAGGGAAAAACTTCACAATGAGGAAG